TGATTAGTCTATCCACTTAAAATAATTATAAAAAAATTTCAAAAATAGTAGTGGATCGTTTTAAATTTTAATTCTTAATTTTAAAATGTAATAGGTTCCTTTATACAATTTTGCTTTTTCCTGAGAGGGTTTAATTTACGTAAGTTATTAATTTAAGTTTTTGTTGCTGCAGTAATTTGGAAAGGTTTTGGTGGGTAGATGTTTCTATATGAACAAGAAGTTTGCAAACATGGCCAAATTTAGTTATTTTTTTTCATTTTTTATTGCTGAACATTTCATTTAGCCAATGCAAATAAAATGGTACAATAAGCATGCCTCTTCATAACTTTTCATATTTTTTATAAGAAGAGAAGTGTAAAAAAGAAGTGTAAGAAGAGAAGCAGCAGTCTAACTTGATCAAAAAACAGAAAGTATAATGTGTCCAAAATGAAATCGTAGCTCAGAGTGACATAGTTATGACTATAATTTTTCTATTAGCTAATAAAAGGTGTCACTATTGCCTATTAAAAGTTTTGATTTCCAAATCTGAAGTCAGAGCCCAGTTACACTATATAAATATCGTGCGATAGCTTTTAATTTTGAAACAATTCAGTTAGGGAGATTTATTATTAGATGTTACTATTTTTAGAACAAAAAGGAAAAACAACTAAATTTGGGTGTGAAGTCTATTAAGTTGCCAGTATCTCTCTACGGTAGACTGTGTCACAAATGGAGCAACTGGTCAGCAAGTTGGGATGTATTTGTATGTGGCTGAATTTGCCTGCCCAGTATGTTCCAAACATATTTGATAGGCGGCAGGTCTGCAAACCTGGCAGGCCATTCGAGGGCATTAACACATCAAAGGAATGTTTGGGAAAGTCATGCAATATGTGGCCAAGAGTTATCCTTCTGGAAACAAAACCTGGATGACCTATAGCATAGGCAGTACGATCGGCAGCAAAATGTCGTCAGTGTACTTGCGAGTCAGAGTACCTTGCAGCATGCCAAATGGTGAAGTGAAGGGCTGTCCCAGCTGATCACTCTTCAGACTGTCAAGCCGTATATTTTGGCTGTGTGCGGATAACTAAGAAATGATACATTGGAATGCTTACGTCTCTGCCTCCAGACACATATGCGGCGGTCGTCAGCATTGAGAGAAAAGCATGATTCATCACTGAAGATTGCACTTCTCCAATCGGACACAGCTTGAGCAAGAGTGGCACCAAGTAAAACGACACTGCTTATGGTGGAGTAAGTTAATAGACATAAAGATCTGGCCCAGAATCAACTGGTCTTCTGCAAATTGTACCTCGGGTATTGAACTATTGATGTGGACAGGGCAGCTCTTCTAATTGCATGATCATCTTGTGCATTGGTAGCCCAGGGACGTCCCAAGTTACTACAATGGCTGATTATGCCTTTGCTGAGCCACTGGTTCCAACAACGGACAGTGACCATATTGCTTCAATCAATATACAGGCCGATCTGTCTGTTCAATCAATTGACCTCTCTTATTCCTAAGATGTGAGCCCTCTCAAAGTCTGACAACTGTATTGCACCCCCTTAATTGTTCGGAACAGCCTTTTATCTATTGATAATAAATTGCTCATTTACAAAACCACGCTACGTTCCATAATTACGTATGCCTGCCCTGTCTAGGGGTATGTTAATGATACTGCAATTAAAAGACTGCAAGTACTGCAGAATGTTGTACTGAGACCTGTGGATTGTCCGTGGTTTATTAGGAAGTCGGCAATCCACAGAGAATTCAAAATACCAGAAATTCATATCTACATGACAACCCTTGCCGAAAGAATTTTTAGTAAAATGACACTAATTCAAAACCCCACTATTCAGATGTTGATTTAGGACTATAATGATGGAACAAATAGAAAGCGACTGCTTGCGATACTTAGACATCTAAATTAAGCAATATTAACATAATATGAATGAAAATTAATTCAAAAAAAAATAAATAAAAATAAACATGAAAAAAAATCTAAAAAATATACAGTCAAAAGTCTTTAATCCGGACTCGTCGGGACTTCGGCGATTCCGGATTATCGATTTTTCCGGTTTATAGATCATCAGTTTAAATCTGGTAAGATGGCATGCAGAAATTATAAAATTAAAAATATGAACCATAATTTATAAAATAATGAGCAATTATGATCTAAAAGGTATCAAAATTTACAAAAAAAAAGAGCTTAATATTTATTTGTTTACTTTATTAAACATTTCTTTCAACGTGCGCATGCGTAAAGCATGCATTACGCATAGCCGAAATTAGAAAATTGCAACCAGAAAACTATTTGATTTGTATTCGTGATATTTATAATGACGTGGAATTTGATTTAAATCATATCAAAGACGGAGTGCATCGAGATGAAATACTACAATTAGTAAGGAATTATAAGCCGAATAAAATAAAAACATCTGCCCTGAAGATAACGATAGTGCTGACAGATCAACTTCCAGTTCATTGCGTGCCGCGACGTTCCCCCTCCCCCCTCCTCACGCAGAGCAGCGTGAAATTGATAAACAGATTTCGGAACGGTTAGATAAACAAAGGATATACCTTTATCCATTTTTTGCAGCAATTCCAGTTTTTGTTTGATGGACATCGAAACATACTTTCGTTTTGTAGATCCTTTGGGAGCTCCAGCATCGGAAATTCTGTTTGACATAATCGAAAGTTCAAGCTTACTTTTATAAAATTGCTCTTACAGTCTGCAAAAAATAATAAGCCGGATCCAGTTCAAAGATTAAGGAACAACACAATCATCAACATTAACTGAAATAGATAATTAGATAATTTTAGCTTATACCGTTCGTTATACATTAAATGCGCATGCGAAAACGTATTCTGGGCTTGCGCACACCCATATGCGCAGTCGTAAAAGTCTTGTGCGCATGCGTCAACGCGGCGCGTGTGCAGAAAGATTTTAGCTTTGAGGTCCGGATTATGGGTGTCCGAATTAACGACTTTTGACTGTATATGTATTATCTCTGCATATGAATACCTCATATGCCTCAATTATTATTATGCATACTTCATATCTTGTGCCTATATCCATGTACCTATCACTTTAGTATGTACACTTTGTATATGCTTATGTCAACTCATTTATATTTTATGTATATACTTTCCATGATCTTGTTTTTTGCTTTGTATAATGTTGTCAGATAGATTTATTTATGTATATATGTGTGTCACACATTTGATTCTCTGACTCTATTGCAACTACTCGCATTTCTTTGCTTTGCATGGTACCGTCCTGTACTTACTCGCACCTTTCTCCGCCTGAATTGGTTGATCGGCTACGGCCGTACCACGCTGGTCTCTGTCGTCTCTCATATTTTTTCGCCAAAGACTATCTGTAAGATTATGCCTATCTTTGCTTCATCTATGCACATCATTCTGCAATTAATTATTAGGATTCTTACTTATGTTCGAAGCTTCAAATAGTCGAAAATCGGCATTCAGATACTCCGGGGTAGCGCCAAGTTGCGCGGGTACCTACACTGTGAACAAAATGTTCGTCTAAGCCGACAAGTGTTGGTAACACAGTCGAGTGCATCTTAAAGGCATCTTTTATTATAATGTCATGTATGCAAGCTGTAAGTTCAGTTGTAAATGCTTGTCACTCCTCACACTTGCCCTTTTATATTCTATCAGTTGCGCACTTCAGACACATATTGTATCGCTTCACAATGCTTATTTATGCTACAAGTTAAATCATTTATGCAACTTCCCAAAACACAATTGTGTGCCACATTTTGTAGTTTGACTCAATTTTTTGGGGGTGCATATATTTTTTTTAACAGAGTGTATATAGAAATGCTTATGCTTTTTCCTAGAGACATCAGATCCTCTTATGTCAGCCCTGAGGTGACTTAAAATATAGTACATTCAGAAATTGAAATATTACTATATCATCTAAGGTACTTTTAAAACATTGCTTGCTATGGGGGAGGGAGAATTTTAAATCTAAATTTAAAAAAATTAAATTAAGCCAAATGTTTTTGCAATATAAATATGGTAATACTGCTGTGTGAATTTGATATTAGTGAAATAAAAATGAAATCTTTTAGTGCAGGATGAAAGCACCAATTCATGGATGAAACATTGAAGAAGTGGGGGTATCTGTCGTTGTTGACTTCCTAAACCAAGCTCAAGTCATCAATATGTGGATTAATGTGACTGTGTCAAATGAATGTTTAGTAAAGAGTATGTGCTAGATATGTTTTGTGACTAGAATCAATTTTAGAAATTAGAATCAATTTTAGAAATTTAGAATTAGAAATTTGAAAGAGATTACCCACACTCTTTCAAAGAATTTACCAGCTCAGAATCATAGATTTCAACTTGCAAATAAAGCAGTTCCAACCAGAAAGGATTAAAATTTATATTTAGTTACCAGAGTTTAATCTTAGTTTCTCTAAAGTATGTTTGCAGTAACCTATTTCCTTTTTATCAGAATAAATTAATGTCATGCCACTAAAATGACATTTCCAATAACATAATCATTCTGATATTTAAAAATATATAGCAGTTGCACTGAGTTGGTACAATATTTAGTACAGTAAAACTCTGAATTTTCAGAATAAGACCACAGTCTATCCGAGCATTAGGAAAATCTAGATAATTGTATTATCTGTTTTATTATTGTTAGTGTAAAATATCCCAAAAAATTTGCTTTCAGCTACACTTTATGCTTTTGTGTAAAATCTAGTTGAAGAATGTGTGTAATTAAAACAAAATAATCAGGAGGAAATGTAAAAAAATTCTTTTAATGTTGGATTGAATATTTTGTGGTAAGTTATAAGGTAGACCAGCTAAAAAAGACATTTGACAGTTTTATAATTTTTACAATTTGGAATAATACCAATCCCCTCCCATTTTTTAGTAGGGGCTATCTTAAAAAAGACTGGATTTGAATTTGCTGTCAAATTTAATATTATCCTATATACTTTTTTAATGTGTTATATTGTTTAGTTATGGCAGTTTTCTCTTTCAGCTATGACATGGTTCATTTTGGTCATGCAAATCAGCTACGTCAGGTAATGAACAGTACAGAAATTTATATAAAATCAGTTAAAGGTGTTAGTTATTAAAATATGGCATATCATCCTTTAGCCTTAAAGACTGATGTGTAACTCATAATTTTATTAAGATAAGAAGATTTAGAAAATCTAATAGTTTATCTCATTTTACTTCCTGCATAATAAATATTTTTTGCGTATGAACATTTGAAATTTTTTCAATATTATAATTTAGAAGTGTGGTGAAGTATCTTAGTTTCTTGAAAGTTTTCTGATTATTTTTATTGTCTAAGAAAGAGCTCTGTGGCTTTTAAGCCACTTTGCTGAAACTATTCTATTAAGAGGCAGAAATCTGGCAGGAAAAGCTTTTGAATGCATTATAATATTCTCTGGTGAATGATTCATAAATGTTAAACTTTTTCTTTTAATGCCATCAATAAAAGAAATGAAAAAATTAGCTCCTGCACTATAGAAATGTTTCAAATGCCACACTGTGACCGGCTCCTATAAAATTTTGTAATGAGGATTGCAGTACAAATAAAATAATCAAGAAAAAGTTAGACAACTTTAAATGTATTTTTCATGTTGTTGTTACCCTAAATGCTTCAAAAGTATCCATCATATCCATTGGTATGAATGCAAATTTTGTTCAAAAAATGTTTTTCTCATTTTTGAAAATTTATTGAAATTTTTGCAGCATTTCTTTCAAAGCATTTATTCTGTGTAAATGCTCAAAACAACATCAAGAAGATATAGGGTATCCAATTTCAATTCATTTGCTTTTCTTTTTATCAAGTGTATGACAGAGGATTAGGAGAGGATTTGCTTACTAAAAATTATTAGACAATTAAAGGTGGCAAGAGGAATGTTTCTTGTTCTATTTAGTGAATATGAATTGCATGCAAATCCTTTGCAGCATAAATAAAAATTGGATTCTCGTAATTTTGATGCCTTTGTTGATGCAACAAAGAAAGGTTTGACAAATAAAGAACCACAAGTAGTTTTTAAAGAAAGATTATAAAAAATTGCAAATGATAGATTTATTTTTTATGATAAAATGCTTCAGGCAGGGCTAGAAATCTAAATGAATTCTGTAACCTAACTGAAAAGAAGCCAGATTCAGAAATGTAGCTTAAAAGCCATTCTGAAAAAATGTACATGCTATATTTGTTCATGTTAAAAAATTATTTATTATGCAAATAGCTAAGGGGAAAAAACTTAAATCCTATGGAATTCTCTATTATTAGCCAAATTGAGAGGACACGAGATTTCAGAAATTAAGCTTAAAAAATGCCATTCTGGCAAGTTCATTTATGACGCAGATGCAGTGTAGTGTCAGTAGACTTTTTGTTTTATTCACATCATAATTTTATTCTATCCAGATTATGAAAAGACTGAATTTCATTTTTAAAAAAATTAAAAATTGATGATAATGTGATGTGCTGATGACAGAAAGAAGCGTGTTGATTTTCAGTAATAAAGATAGAAATGTGGAAATGTGATGGTAACATCAGGTTATTTTCAACTCGATGATGTTCAGATAATGAAGGCAAAATTTTCATTCTTTAATACATGCATAATTAGAAATAATTTCTTATATTGCTAATGGCTTTGCTGGGTTAAAAGAAAGGTTATGTGGGAATAGAGACTGGCTTAATTTAGTTCATAAAAAACAGGATTTCTTGCTTTTGACAAATTTATTTTGATATTCAGAAATTGTTTTATTTGCTTGAAAGCTTATGGAAGGAGAGAATATCTTAATTCCGAAGATAAAGCACCAGATTACTCAATGTAAGTATTTTTATTTTGAAATAAGGAAAATACTTTTAGTATTTCCTATGTATAGTTTCTAAAAAAATAAATATCAAAGCAAAACCTAACTGAAACATAACAAAATAATTTATGAAGTTATGAAATAGGTTTCTTCTTTTCTTATGATCAACTTATATTTTTAAGCTATTTTTTATTTGTGACTTTAACATTATCTAGATTAGATTATGGTCTTTTTTCTTCTTATACAATTATTTTTATTCAATCTTAATAATCATACTAAATATATGATTCGTATAATATATAAATATATGATTCATTTGTGAAGAAATTAGCAGCAGTTATAATATTTTTCCTTCAGAAATTCTGTCATAAAATGCTTTAAAACAAAATATAAAGTCTACCAGAAAATTCTGTCCATTTAGGAAGTGAAAAGGAATAATACACTTTTCATACATTTAAAAATATTTATTGTGCAATTTAATTTCCATTGTTACTTTGACCTCTTGCCAGCATAATGGTAATTTGTAAATACCATTTTTGTCATTTGAAAGATGTCTTGTCCTTGTAGACAAATAACTGAAGTACTCTTTGGTTGTTATCTGCTTCAGTTTTGAATATTTTTTCCTTCAAAAAATTTTGCAAGGAAAGAAACAAGTGAGGATCAAGGGGGACCGGGTTGTTAGGCCTGTGGAGTATGGTGGATGTGGCAAAATTTCCCAACCTAGCTCTACAATTTTCTGACGAGTCACCAAAACAACATATGGTCTGCCATTATCATGATGCAGTGTGATGTGCTTCTTATTGAATATTGCCAGCCTCTTTTCTTTGACTGCTTTGTTTAAATTGTCTGTTTGCTGACAATATCTCTCTGAATTGAGCTTTTCTAGATTTTAAAAGCTTGCAATGTATTGGTCCTTGGATCTTTTACTATATATATACAGCATTTTCTTATTCACGCTCAAACTCAGTTTAGAGGCGGATGGAGCAGGATTTCCTGGCTCTCAGTGTGCTCTTTTCCTAATAATGTTTTCATAGGCTATCCTTTTTTCATGCCCAGTTATCATCCTATTCAAAAAGGAATCATTTTTGTTCGAAGCAAGCAGAGATGTGCATATGCTGACTCATTCATGCAAAGTTTTCTTCCTTAACTCATGAACCATCTATCTGGAATATTTGTAGACCAATCTGATTTCCAAATATGATCTGAAATTGTTTGTTGAGCTGAAATAAGCTTTTCTGATATCTCTAATTTTGTCAGAACAGGATCTTGCTCTGCCGTGGTCTTGACAATATCGTCATTGATCAGGGATAGTCAGCCAGAAAGAGCTTATAATTAAGGGCGATATCACCTGCTTCAGATTTTCCTAACCATTTCCTACACATTCTATTTTAAACGGCATTTTTACCAAAAACTGTTACTAAATTTCAACAAACTTCTGTAGCATTTCTTCCTTGCTGGAATTCATATAAAATACTGTGTCGCAAATGAACTTTATCCATGTTTACACGATTGTATCTCACTTAATAATGACATGATACACTTTTGTTTCAGTTAATTTAGAAACGCAGATGTTTATAAATGCAATAATAAAGAGAGACAGTCATGTTTGTCTTTATATTATTCATTGCATTTTATTTTGATATTTACTAGCAAATTTAATAGTCAGAAAATATTTGAGCTTTTAAATACTGAAGTAATTTTCATCTGTTCCTGAAATTTCTTAAAGCTCTTCCCCCCAGTTGTTCTTATTGAAGTAATACTAGCGGTCCTGCAGTTTCTTTATGGAGTTATTCGAAAAACAATGTAAAATTGCATCGGAGTTGACATAAGCTAACAGAATTTTAATTGTCTGTAGCATATATTAATTAAATTATGAGTACCATTTTATGGTATTTCTTTTGTAACATTTTTACCACAATTTTTTCTGAAATATATATATATATTTTTTTTTTTTTTTTTTTTAATTTCTGTCATTTGTAACTTTTATTTACACTGGTTATCATAAATTAAGGAAAAATCATGATTACTGAAAAAGTTGCATGTAGAATTTTATGAAACTTACCCACAATATACAACACATAGTAAAGTATAAAATAACATAAAAAGAAATTACCAGACAATTACGGTAATATAGAAATTAGCACATGTATAAAATTAACAAATCGAAGATGTCAGTTTGCTATAGTAAAAGTACCTTCAATATGGAATATAATCATCTCTAGAAGAAATACAGACCATTCAGCGATGTGTGATGCTTTCAGTTATGCGGTCTATCAGTTCCATATGAAGTGACAGCCATTGCTCTTGCAAAGCAGTTGCAAGTGCGGCAAGGGTCTAAGGGTGCGGATTGAGAGCAGCTAGACGTCTCCCTAAAGCATCCCAAACGTGCTCAATAGGATTTAAGTCCAGGGATCAAGCTGGCCACTCCATGCGCATAATTGTTTCCTATTGAAGATAATCATCTACGATGCGAGCCCTGTGTGATCTTGCGTTGTCGTCCTGTAACAAGAAAGCATCACCTATTGCCCCTGCATATGGGCGCACATAAACATCAAGGATGTCATCTCTGTAAATCTCAGCATTCACGGTTACCCTTGGAAAGACATGGATGTCTGTGCGTCCACCCAAAGAGATGCCACCACAAACGCAGACACTGCCTCTTCCGTATGCATCTCTTTCACGGATGTTTGACGGATGATAACGGGTTCCAGGTTCTCTCCATATCAAATAAAGCCTACTATCGCTTTCTAGACTAAACCTGGACTCATCCGTAAAGAGAACCGCCCTCCATTGAGCAGGCATCCAGTGGACATGCTGTCGTGCCCACTGAAAACAGACCCTCCTATGGCGTGACTTGAGCGGCACACAAATGGCTGGTCGCCTCGCATACAGACCACCTTCGTGAAGCCTTCTACGCACAGTTGACGTTGACGTGAACCTTCCGATGGCTGCAGCAAGGGAGGATATAAGAAAAGTCGGAGTAGCGGTTCTATTCCTGCGTGCGTGCATATGTCAAATATCGGTCATCGGCGCTCGTCGTAACAGTGGGCCATCCTTAGCTGAACCTCCTAGATGCCGAATCTGTGGTTTGAAATTGCCTCCAAAGTCTATGAATCACAGGAGGACTCACATTTAGCCATCTAGCCACTTCTGTTTGACTTTATCCTGCCTCTAGTCTCCCAATGGCTTTCCATTGTAGTTCTGCAGGCAAATGATGCCTGGAGGTCATTGTTACGAATTGGCTATCTCTCATTTCTGATGTCACTATCACTGTGAAATATGTGGGCTTGCTCTCAAACATGGACTTATTCTCCTCGTGGATAGCGTATTCCGAGTGCAGCGCCACTAATTTGCATATTGCAGTTTTACTCGGCTACTCTTACTTGGCAACATATTCAATTTTTACACGGTTTGGCTTATTTTTTAGGGAGTTATTGCTATTTTTGTGATTTTTCCTTAATTTATGATAACCAGTGTATTTTTACATCATTTATGTATTCAGGAGCTATGTTTGTTATATGATAGGAGATATATCCATTTCCTTTTGATGCAGATAATTTGAAAAATGACATCAAAACTTTGAAATAATAGTTCTTAGTGATTTAACAAAACATAATTCTTCATGGATTTTTTTTAAACAGTGATCAGAATTTCTATTTGAGAAATGTAGCTACTATCAATTTGTGAAGATTTTTGGATTTTAATGTAAATTTGTTTAGATTAATAACAGCTTCTTAATAAGTATTTGAGTGTGATATAAGTAATAAAATTCTTGTAATCAAGTATAATTGTGTATTTTTTACATCACTTTTGTCTCAATATCAAAATATCATTAATCCATTTCTCGCTTATGGAAAATATGAAAAACAAAAAGTAATGCTGTTTTTTATTATTATTTAGGCTAAAGCAATGGGAGATTATTTGATAGTTGGTGTTCATACTGATGGTAAAGTATACTTTACTGAAATTTTTAGATTCTTTAATTTATTACTTCAGGATGTGTTAGCTTTCATGTTAACAAGCAAATGTTTGTTTCATTTTTAGTTTACTGCAATTCATCATCATATTTACAAATAATTGGCTTATGCATTTTTAATAGTCATTATATTGTATCTTATGGCTTACTTCTTTAAAAGTCGTTCATAAAACTTGGATTTCACCTCTTAAAAAAGGGAGGAACCCATAAAACTTCTTCAATAAAACGATGTGTAATTCTTCTAAAATCCACTTCTTTTTAGCAGAATTGGACCACCAGTGGCTGAGCATTGTTCAATGCTAGTAGTTTAGTCTGGGATTTGAATCCCAGTGAACGGGCTGACTGCATGGGCATTTTTATGGTTTTTCTCATGTGTAACATATATGTAAGCCATTTTCCCTTAGAATGATCTCCACAAAGGCTTCCCTCCCCTTAGGCAGACAGCCCTTGAGTGCTTTGCATTAATTAAATAAACCAAACCTTTTCAGCAGAAATTTTATCATGTACATTGTGAATGTTGGATTTATATTCACCATAGTAGCCTATCTCTGTTTTAACTTTTGTACTTGAATATATGCTGTGAGTGAACACTCATTACGTAAATGCTTAAGGCAGTAGTAAAATATGTTATATGTAAGAGTTGATATTAACACAGATGATTTGGGGTCGAAGATAATAAATACTTAATCGAATATAAGCTCCATGCTACTTTATGTGCATGTACTTTTGATCAAAATTGTAATTCAACCATTGTGCATAAGACCATTGCTGGTAAACATAATGAGCTCCTGTATATCTTCATTTCATACTTGGCTTGAATTGAATGTTTGATATCATCTAAAACTTCTCTGATGAATATTCTGATAGAGAAGTCAATCACTTTATGTGCATGATGAGCTCTGGTATCTCTTCATTTCACACTTGGCTTGAATTGCATATTTGATATCATCTAAAACTTCTGTAAAGAATATTCTGATATGGAAGGCAATCACATTATGTGCATGACTATAGATATTTTTGTTTCATTTATCTTTATTAAATGTCAGTGTTCAGGAAGACTGCTGAGTCATAATTTTCAGGTAAAGAGCATGTCATTTCTTTATCACTTTGAAACTGAATGACCAGTGCTAAATATGTGTTGTAAATGCAATAAAAATGGGCAGTGTAGTATAATCAAAGTTGCATGACTTTTCAGCACGATAAGCCTAAGATACAGTAAAATACAATTATGATGTTTAATAAATACAATTCTGATTCTCAGTCTAACATGTTAACAGTTATGGATACAGCACTAGCTTTTGAAATTTATAAGCTGGGAATAAACAAATTTTGGAAATATGTTTCATAATTTCATAATTAGTTTTTAATCTCAGAGAAAAAAGATACTGGATTTATTTATAATTTAGGAGGAAAGTTGTAACATAAGGAATGAAAAAAGTTATTGAGGAAATTACATATGATTCTCTTGAAAGAAAGGAAAAAATTGTGAATTTCAATGAGTTCTCCCCGTAATGGTGCCATATATGCATACGTCCATAATGATATTGCATCAAAAGTGAAATTCATCTGAGAAGAATATGTCACTATGTAACATTCTGTGTCATCACCATATAAACATTCTGTGATTCTCAAGATAGTGTCACACTGCATGTAAAGACACTTTTTGCCATGCTACAGACTTTATTTTTTATGCTATATTACATAGGTGTATGGTCCATATGAGCTATTCGCATAAGATGTCTGCTTTCTTAAACATTGGTGTATTGAAGTTGTTGTGGACCTATATTTCATTCTGTCGGTCCTTTCTGGACACATCTGTTAAATACTCACATGACAGTGGTAAGATTATAATGAACATGTGAAGCATAATAATCCACAGTCTAAGCATAGTATTTTCCTGCAATCAAATTCAAGCCCTGTACATTTCATCTTACTACTTTATAAGGTATATTTTAATTTTATAACAGTTATTTTAATTTTAAAATACTTTCTCATTGATTCTTGTTCCCACTTACAACTCCCTACCAGAATGAGTTTTTAGAATCACATTGAATGCAAGTGAGTAAGAAGTGGTATTTAAAGAAGGTTCAGCTTACTTCATAAGATAGAGCTAGGAATCCTGAGTAGCGCTTGTTTGCCTTAAGGCTAAACCTCTCTTGAAGCTGTTACACGCAGCCATATATTACGTGTCTTTTGATATTCACTGGCTAGTTTAAAGTAAGGGCCAACTATGTTAGATTTATGTTAGCTTCGACTAAGTCTCTTAGTTAGTTATAGTTTAGTCTTTAATTTTTATTCTGAGTTTAAGCCCAAGTGGAGGCTTTGTTGTAAGGCCAAGAAAGGGGCCAACTGTTCATCTTATTTTAAGTTAAATAAACAGTAGTTAACCCTTCTTGACTCTAGCTCTTTAGTTGTTTGAACTTGGTGGTAAGTTGCTTAGTAGTTCACTAGGTTCCTCAATGTTCATTTAGTAGAATAAAAGTGAGGAACTCTACAACTTGATGCTTGGTTTGCATTTCAGGTTAAATAAATAAAGAGGAAACAGCATTCCTATATGGAAAACTCATCCTTTCTTATTCTCTTGTACACTGATTCTAGTTAACATTACATGCACTTATTACATATGTGTAAGTTGTAACAGGCTTGATGATTTAAACTTTAAAGGGGGTGATAAAACATGGCAAAAGCAACAGTTTTCATGATACAGTGTCTCATGGAATTTCAAATATTAGTGTTACAATAAATAATGTTTGATATTTATAAGAATTATTTAAATAAATAACCACCAACTGCAATATATGCATTACATAGGTGGTCAAGTGATTGGCATACACTTTGGAAAATGTCCCATATATCAGGAGCAACAATGCTAATTCTGACAAGCAAATCTTCAGGAGAGTCAATGTACATCTTGTAAACAAGATTCATCTTCATATTTTATGAATAGAGATGTCATACTTTCTCACATGTAAATAGTTCAGTGATGCTTTCTGGTCTGTAGCAGAACTAATACATTTTCTCACCATACTGAACTTCTACTAAAGGTTTATTCCTAAAACCACCGTCAATTTATTGCAATTCATACATTTTCTCAAAGATAATAAAGAAAAATGCCAAAACAATTATTATGTAAAAATAATGGTTTCATTTAAATAGTGTAAAGAAGGTTATGGCAATGCAACTACTGTTGCTTATCATTCTGAAAGAGACAAATTATTTCTTTGTTGATGCTTCAGGTATAGCAAGTGGTTATCTTCTGATCATACAAACTGATCATACAAGTCGATTTCTTAAGGTATTTTAATTTCCTGATAAAGATTCTGAACAAGAAGACAGTGAATGCTTTATTAACAAAGATCACAATGATTTGAAATATTTTTCACAGTTCTACAGATACTTTGATCATTACACCTATGTTTCAATTGCTTTTACGAAACTTTCCCTAAACTTCTCCAAAGTTAAAACAACTACATGTGTTTAGACAAGCATTCAGTCCATCTTTGTTAGCACAATGCTTCAGCACATCATTATTGAAGGCAGCCAGCACATCAGTAATTCAATCTGAGTTCAAATCAGTCTCACATATCTCTTAATCCTAGATCATTAACTTTTCGCATTTGCTTTCAGAAAAAAACTGATCCAAATCTCGAAGGCCACTGAGACAAAGATTGTATTGCCCATTTCTCGATGGACATTTAGTATATTAAAGTTTCTGGCAGAGTGGTGGCAAATACTTTTTTCCCCAAGAGTAATGATTTGATACTGCTATCATCCATTGATTTCTTAGCTCTTGCTCAAGTTCAGAAAAACAGCTTAAAATAATTGGTATCAAAGTATTCCACAAGCCTTAACTTGGAACATTTAAAATTCAACATATAGACACTATTTTATCACCATATTTTATGAACAGATATCTCATACTTGCTCACATGTGAATAGTTCAGTGATAGTTTCTGGCTCATAGTCTTAAAGGTGTGGTTAGTATCAGTAAACAATAATACAAGCATTGAGCTTCGTGTATAGTCATCACGTGATTTGTAATCTCCGGATTTCTTTTTGAATATATGTAAAGATTAGCCAAGGACATTTTGACAGTTGAATAATGCTCTGATCAAACATAAATTGAAATTCTTCCTAGACTGCATTCAATAAATTGGAATATATTCATTTGGATTATTTGATTATGGAAAGCATGCTAGAGCTAACTGCCTAAAAGACAGGATGCTTTTGCGGTGACATTTTTTTGAGAAAATGACTTGTGTTCATATTGCACATGAGGGAAACCATGAAAGGCTTATACAGTCAGTCTATTTGCTGGGATTTGAACTCAGATTGAATTACTGATGTGGTGGCTGCCTTCAATAATGATGTGCTGAAGCAGTGACGTTGTGCTAACAAAGATGGACTGAATGCTTGTCTAAACACATGTAGTTGTTTTAACTTTGGAGAAGTTTAGGGAAAGTTTCGTAAAAGCAGTTGAAACATAGGTGTAATGATCAAAGTATCTGTAGAACTGGGAAAAATATTTCAAATCATTGTGATCTTTGTTAATAAAGCATTCACTGTCTTCTTGTTCAGAATCTTTATCAGGAAATTAAAATACCTTAAGAAATCGACTTGTATGATCAGTTTGTTAATGTCTGCTATGATGAAGGGACAAAAATGTTTCTGTTGCAAATTCAAATCCAGATTAAGAAGTCCAGTGTCCTAGATCTGTACAGAATGTAGTATTTGCTATAAACAATGTGGATTTGTCAAGAGTATGTCTAAAACTTTTCATTCAATGAATTATAGAAATTTTTCAATCAGTGTTAATGAGAAATTTATATTTCAAAAAAGAGTCTGCCATAAAGTTTCTGGAAGTGGATAATAGTAAGTCGGTTATGATGGCTGCTATAAATTGTTCATTGAATAACCTGAAGTTTTTTAGAAATCACAAAAATACACTTTTGAGTTGATCAAAATTTGCA